TATTTAATTTAATTGAAATCCAATTCATATTTATTTTGATTATGTTTATGGTTTGTTTATATTGTGAGTATTTATTTTGAATATTTTGTATATGTAGAATATATTTAATTTAATTGAAATTCAATTCATATTTATTTTGATTATATTGATGGTTTGTTTATATTGTGATTTTTTATTTTCATTATTTTGTATATGTAGAATGCAAGATGAGATATTTAATTTAATTGAAATCCAATTCATATTTATTTTGATTATGTTTATGGTTTGTTTATATTGTGAGTATTTTATTTTGAATATTTTGTATATGTAGCATTATTATGGAACGGTTTTTTAAGAGAAAGTCATCATCGGGTTCGGGTAGTTCGAATAATGTTGATAGTTCAAATACTGTCGGTAGTTCAAGAACTCCAAGTTCAAGACAAAAGTCAGTTAGATGATGTTTTGGGTAATCTTCAAGCGGATCCTGGATTAAGAACTCGAATAATAGATTATGACGCTAATATGAGAGATGAGGTCCGAAGATTATATCTACAAAAATGACCTTGTCAACCTAGAGGTCATAATTTCCCAATAACTAATATGTCGGGAATTAATCGACGCTTCATTCCCCCAATGGTTTTGATGAGTTTGATTGGTTGGAGTATATAGTGTATCTAAAGATGCGGCATTTTGTCTCTATTGCTATCTCTTTAAAACCAATTTTGAACAAGTGGGTAGTGAAGCTTTCACTGGAGATGGATTTTAAGAATTGGAAGAAAGGGAGAGAAAGATTTAAGATGCATGTTGGACCGGTTGGGAGTGTTCATAATAAGGCTAGAGAAGCTGCTACAAATTTGATGAATCAAGCTACATATATTGAAATGGTAGTGAGCAAACACTCTGACCAAGCTCGTAAGGCTTATCGCACATGCTTGATTGCTTAAATCAAGTGCACTAAGTTTTTATTGCGACAAGGTCTTCCTTTTCGTGGCCATGATGAAAGTGCCACTTCAAGCAATAGGGGAAATTACTTGGAGTTATTGCAATTCCTTGCAGATAATAATGATAAAGTTAGAGAAGTTGTGATGGGGAATCTCAAATTACTAGCTCCTTCCATTCAAAAAGAAATTGTGAATTCATGTGCCCTTGAAACACTTGATGCTATCATGGATGGTCTAAAAGATAGATTCTTTTCAATATTGGTGGATGAAGCACGTGATGTGTCTGTGAAAGAGCAAATGGCTATGGTGTTGCGTTATGTGGATGACAACGGGCATGTAATTGAAAGATTTGTGGGTATCCAACATGTTACCGACACTACTTCAAGTTCACTAAAGGATGCTATTGACACATTGTTTTCTCGCTACAGTTTGAGCATTTCCAAGCTACGAGGACAAGGTTATGATGGTGCTAGCAATATGAGAGGTGAGTTGAATGGCCTTAAAACAAAGATATTGAGAGAACAACCTTGTGCATATTATGTTCATTGCTTTGCTCATCAACTTCAACTAGCTCTTGTTGCCGTAGCAAAGAATAATATAGACATTGCCTCTTTTTTTGCAACGGCTAATAATGTGGTTAATCATGTTGGAGCATCTTGTAAGCGGCGTGATTCACTTAGAGGGCAACTTCAAGAAGAGCTTGTGATAGCTTTTGAAAATGATTGTCTTATAACGGGGCGAGGCTTAAATCAAGAAACAAGTCTCAAACGTGCCGGTGACACACGATGGAACTCACACTATGGTACCTTGATTAACATCATTTCTATGTTTTCATCCGTGGTTCATGTGCTTCAAATGGTTATTGATGATAATCCCAATGAAAGTGCGGGTGAAGCAAATACGTTAATGAGAGTGATACTTACTTTTGAGTTTGTGTTTCACCTTTTCTTGATGAAAGTCATATTGGGACTCACAAATGATTTGTCACAAGCATTGCAAAGGAAAGATCAAGAAATTGTGAATGCAATGGCTTTAGTGAAATCATGCAAGGAAAAGCTATATTGGATGAGGAATAATGGGTTCGATGCATTGGTTGATGAAGTATCTTCTTTTTGTGAAAAAACATCATATTGATGTTCCTAACATGGAAGAGGCATTTATACTTCCAGGGAGGTCAAGGCGTTATGCTCCAATAAAGACAAATCGTCATCATTATCGTGTGGAGCTCTTTATTTATGTCATTGATGAGCAAATTACGGAGTTAGAGGATCGCTTTAATGAGGTAAATACCGAGTTGCTTATTCGTATGGCATGTTTGAGTCCGAAAGATTTCATTTGTAGCTTTTTTGATAAACCAAAGTTACTTCGTCTTGCTCAATTTTATCCTCAAGACTTTTCGGATGAAGATCGTTTGGCACTTGAAGATCAACTTGAGATTTATATTCATTATGTGTGTTCCAGTAGTGATTTCTCTCAATTGGAAGGGATTGGTGATCTTGCAAAAAAAATGGTGGAGACAAGGATGCATCAAGTATTCAATTATGTATATTTGCTCATTACATTGTCTTTAGTTTTACCAGTTGCAACTGCTTCAGTGGAGAGAGCATTTTCTGTCATGAATATTGTTAAGGGTCCACTTAGGAACAAAATGGGAGATCAATGGTTGAGTTATAGCTTGCTTGTTTATATTGAGAGAGATATTTTTGCTTGTATTGAAAATGAAGCTATAATGCTTCGTTTTCAAAATATGAAACCTCGTCGTGGACAATTATAGTTTGTAATTTGTTTCCATTATGAATTATGAATGAAAGTACTATGATTTCATTTTCAATATGTTTTTCCATCCTAAATTTTTATTTGAATTTTTACACTGCGACCCCTTGGGGTAAGATTCCTGGATCCGCCACTGGTCCCATATAAAGGTGATGAAATTTCAGGTGCCTGAATGGTTCAATTCACGTAGCCAAGCTTTGATCTTCGACCGAGAGCAAGTGAAACTGCTCGAGACCATGGAAGATAGTTGAACTCATTCAGCAAAACTCTAAACTGAGTATTTGATTTGGATTAACTTCTACTTCGGTAAAATTTGAAGTGGGTGAAACACTAGAGCTTGCAGTATTAGGACTAAGAGGATTTTCCTCAGCCATTTGAAACAGTTGTGGACAACAAAGAGGTTGAAGAAGACGATATGCAGAGACAGGCCATTGTGGTCACTGCTCTGATACCATATTGAATTTCAAGGTTTGTATATTTTTCATAAACTTTACAAGAGAGAGAACAAAGTTCTTATAAAGAGTAGGAGAACAGATTACAAGATAGTGGACTTTTACCACTACCTACCACATGGTTTATGCCCTAAGAAACCGGACACACCAAGGATTGAACAAATAACAATAGACAAGTAAGGAAATCCCAGATTTTGGGAAGAAACATTGACAAAAAGAAAAGTATGGTTGAACAGAAAGTGAGATGACAAGTTGGAAGGTTGTAGCCATCATTTTAACTCATAACTTAGCTATAGTGATAATTACAACCCATACTTGTGACTTTAATCTATTTCAACAGGACAACCGAGTTTTCGAACTGAATTTTATTCAAAAATTGAGCAAAAGTTTGTGTGTGTGGTTAAAATTTTCACTCGCTTTGTTCATTTATTGAGGTAATATTTGATTATTTCTTACAGCCTGGTGGTTGCTAAGATTTTGAGGTTAGCAATTCTTGACTAAACTTCCTGAAGACGATTTGGAGAGGAAGTAAAATAGCGTATTAAGGTAAATATATTTTTCTTCCTGTATTTGGAAAAAAATTTCATTGTGACCGAAATAATAATGATATACCACGTGGTGAAAAATTGTATTTTTTAAGTTACTAACTTTTTAACACACATATCCTATAATTTGTATAATAACACGTGATGTAATACTCTGTGTTCCAGTCATATTGAACAATCTCTTCTATATTTGACTGTCAGCTGGAATTACAGGATAAAAGCGGCAATTACGTAATTCTATTAGTATTCCGAGGAGAGATATGGAAAAAGAAAGTATTAATCTGGTATTTTTCTACATTTATATGGAATTACATTTAACAAATGGACAAGCACCATATCCAAGAATCCAAATACGGAGTCAATCCTATGTAAAGAGAAAATACAAATTTTCCAATCACTGTCGATCCACTGTCGATCATATCGATTTATTCCCCAAATTTGTGTTTGACTTATTTTGTCAATTTTGCAATGACTTTTTTGAGCGTACGGGGGTCATGCAATTTACGTTAGGTTGTAATAAATTATTATTTTTCTAAATCTCGTCCTAAAATCTGCGTCATTGTAATAGTCAATAAACAATAAAATATAAAATAAAATATTTCTCCAAAGTATGCATTAAAACTTTTAAGAAATTATGTGTCTTTGTTTTTCTAATATTACATCTTAGAATTGGCATGTTGAACTACTCTAAAGTGTCTAACATCTTTGTAGTTATAAAATGGGGTGTGCTATCCACACACCCCATTTTACTTTTCACACACCCCTTGATAATTTATATCTGTTGATCTTCTTCAATTCATCCGATTCGACAACCGAAAATTAAAAAGGTGTGTGAGAAGTAAAATAGGGTGTGTGGATATCACACCCCTATAAAATTGGTTTGATCCCTATAGCTATATAGAAGTTTTATGGTAGCTTGATGGTGACGTTGAGTGGGACAACGAAAACAACAACAAACCAACCAATGCGGGAAATTTAATGACGTGGCAAGACCTCATGGGCCATCAAGTTCCTTATAATTTAATTACCTTAATTTCATGACACAATTATCAGTAACTCTCAAGTTCCGAGAATTTGATTGCATTCAGACGAAAATCTGACTAGAAACTATGTTTTGATGGCGAAAAATGCTTACATGTAGCGGAAAAATAACAGTAACAATCGAGAATGATAATACTTACATGTATTATTAGTGTCTCATTTCAATAATACGTATTCACGTATAGTTTTTCTTCACTTGGAATAGCTTTATTACACAGGGGCAAATACGGAACCACAAGTTGCAAGATTCCACACCTGAAATTTGAAGCTACAAATGGCGTACAAGTCATTTTGAGCGCTCCAATCCAAACAAAACCTTTTTTTCCCCTTCATTTTCTTAAACTTTCTCTCCTCTCCACCCTCTCACTCTCTCTCCTTCTCTCTCCTCGCTCTCGCCAATTGGAGAACTGGAAGCTTCTCTCTGCTCCATCATCCGGCTCCTGAATCGCTTCCGACTTTCAGTTTCAGGTGATCATCAACTCTCTCTTCTCTGAACTGAAGAAGTCTCTGTTTTTTTCTGTATAACTTTCGTCACTGATTTTCTTGAAGTTCTTGATCGGATCGAACTTCTTCTCCGCCATTGCTGATTTATGCATGCTTGATTTCGCTTTCTCTTCAACCTGTAAATACATCTGTTGCTCGATTTTTCGCTTTGGATTAAGTCTGTTAACGATATTCTGAAATCGGATCAACCGAGTTTTCGTATTGAATTTTATTAAAAAATTGAGCAAAAATTTGTGTGTATGGTTAAAATTTTCACTCGCTTTGTTCATTTACTGAGGTAATAGTTGATTATTTCTTACAGCCTGGTGGTTGCTAAGATTTTGAGGTCAGCAATTCGTGACTAAACTTCCTGAAGACGACTTGGAGAGGAAGTAAAATAGCGTATTAAGGTAAATATATTTTTCTTCCTGTATTTGACTGTCAGCTGGAATTACAGATTAAAAGCGGCAATTACATAATTCTATCAGTATTCCGAGGGTAGATATGGAACAAGAAAGTATTAATCTGGTTATTTCTACTTTTATATATTCTAGCATTTGTTGAATTTTTTTTTTTCAAAAAATTTTACTAATGATTTTTTTTTTACCAACGATATTAGCTAGACTAAAAGGAGGTAGGCTTAGCATCACAATGTGTTAGCAATAATGTGGTTCAAATTCGTTTTGGCGAGAATCGAACCTAAAATTTCTCGCTTACAAGTGAAGATAAATATTACTAGACCGTAGTACTAAGTGTGAAAAATTTACTATTATTAAGGAGGGAGATGGTTCGAAATTATTATAATATTAATAAATTGAGGGAGGGGGAATTTTAACCAGAGATGTATGCCTAGAAACTCAACACCTTATGGAGGGGGAATTTTAACCAGAGATGTATGTCTAGAAACTCAACACCTTATCCATTAGGTCATAGGATATTGGACACATACATTCTAGCATTCGTTGACAATTATCTGGCTTTTAGTTAAATGGGAAGGAAATAAACAAAAAGACGACATGGCATCAGATTTTGGACTTTTACTCACTCAAGTTTATTCCTCCACCGTCCTAGTATAAATATATTATTGTATAAAAAAAACTGATCCCACGCAGGATTGAAAATCAGTCTAAAGCGGATTCAGATTTGGTTGGTTGGTTTCCTGGTAGGTAGAGTTGTTGGTTTAGCTTTGTACATGCTTCCTAAAGTAGCTATGGCAAAGGACCATGCTAGTTTCCATTTCCATGTATAGAATCATGGACCAGGTTGTCGTGAATCCTGTTCATAGAGCGGGTTGTCATGAATCCTGTTTCACCTAAGTCTTTCTCCGGTGAACTAAACTAAACTAGAATGTATAATCTATTGCTTTTGTTATGATAATTTTACAGTGAGAGTGATAAAAAATGAGTAAGAAGTCCATACCTGGGTAAACATACGTACAAACCTCATTAAGTTGACGTTTCTTAGAATAAACAAAGTTAATGACCAGAAATGTTAAAGGTCAATTGTGTATCTAACTCTCATGCCGAATGCTTTTAACACTTGAGATTATCTATTTACATCTTATGCTTCTAAATGATTTAAAAGGGGATAATTTTTTTTTACGATTCAGACTTCAAGCTGGAGATGGATACAGCCTCATCATAACACACATCTATTGGGGAAGCTTATATTGAAGCGATGCCAAAGCACCGCGTGAGGGAGTCGATTAAGTCCTCATTTGGAAGTCACATCAATTCACAAAAGCATGAAGAGCTGAAAGGAACTAAAATAGGTAAATTTTCTACTAATATTCTTCATTAGGCTTTGAGATGGCGTTGCAGGAACTATACAATGCAACTGGGATAAACTTTGCTATGGTTACATATTTCGCTCTTGCATCTTGCATGATCAATTAAATGGAAATTTAAGGAAGTTTTCTGTTTTTACTGCAGATATTGAGGAGAAGGTGAATAAAATATTGAAGCTTCTAAAAGATGAAGATCCTGAAGAAAAAGATGACACCTCCGTCGAGAACTCCAAAAAGGAACCTCTTGCGGAGCTAATTCAGGATTTCCACAAAGAGTACCAATCACTCTATGCACAATATGATCACCTAACCGGAGTGCTGAAGAAAAAAGTTCGGAGCAAACAAGAAAAGGACAGCAGCTCCTCATCAAGTTCAGACACAGATTCCAAACATTCTTCAAATGACAGAAGCAGTAAAAATGGAGTGCTGGAAAGTGACTTTCAGAAAATCACTGATGGGATTAAGCATGAACTTGAATTGGCGCATCAAGAAGTTGCTGACCTGAACAGGAGACTGACAGCTACAAGTGAAGAGAAGGAAGCTTTAAGCTCAGAATGTGCGGTGGCTTTGACCAAGATAGAAGAAATGAAGAATATTGTCATTGACTTGAAGACTGAAGCTGAAAAGTTAGATGCTGAGAATAGTGAACTTAAACAGAAACTGGAAGCTGGTGAAAAGATAGAAGCTGAACTGAATCAAAAAGTGGAAGATTTGGAAAGAGAGAGAGATAACTTGATTAAGGAGAAAGAGACCGCTCTGAGAACGATTGAAGATGGAGAAAATGTAACAGCGGAATTAAGAACCTTGATTGATCGGCTGAAAGATGAAAAAGTAACCCTTGAGCAAGAACTGGAATCTGTTCGAGGGGAAGTTATCCATATGAAGCAGCAGCTGCAATCTGCAGAGCAGCAGGTATCAGATCTAAGCCACAATCTGAAAGCCAAGGAGGAAGAAACCTTGAAAATTGTGGAGATCTCAACTGAGATTCAGCAGGCACAGAATGTGATACAAGAACTCACAACTGCATCTAGTCAGCTAAAGGAGAAATTGGGCCAGAGGGAAGTGGAATATTCAACTCTTTCTGAGATGCATGAGCTGCATGAGAAGAAGACATTGGCTCAAATTACGGGATTAAAGGCTGCTGTGGCAGAGCTGGAATTGGAACTGGAATCTTTGAGAGATCAGAAAAGAGAGATGGAAGTGAAAATTGAGAGCACAGAAACTGAAGTAAAACTGGGAGAGGTAAATGCAGGACAAAAAGTCCGAATTTCAGAACTTGAGTCAATATCAAACAAGAGAGAAGCTGAGCTTTCTTCTCTCATGAAAAAACATGAGGATAGCAATAGTGAATCTATTCATCTGAAGGAGCAATTGGATCAGAAGGAAAAGGAATATTCAACTCTGTCTGAGAAGCATGAGCTGCATGAGAGTAAAACGTCGGCTGAAATCATCGGATTAGAGGCTGTTGTGACTGGACTGAAACTGGAGCTGGAGTCTTTGCGAGGTCAGAAAAGAGATATAGAAATTGAGATTGAGAACAAAGAAACTCATGTGAAACAACTAGCAGAAGAGAATGCAGGATTACAAGCCCAAATTTCAGAACTTGAAGAGAAGATAAGAACTAAAAGCCTTGAGAGTGACCAGTTGAGAGCAGAAATTGTGGAGCTAAAGGATCAAATTGTTGAATTTGAGAAGAGACTAACAGAAAAAGGGGGCGAGTTTTCTTCTCTCCAGGAGAAACATGACAGTGCAGTGAACGACGCTTCTGCTCAAATAACAGCCTTTGTGTCACAGGTTACTAGTCTAGAACAGGAGTTGGATTCATTGCAGAATGAGAAGAACCAGATGGAGTTGCAGTTTGAGAGGGAGAAACAAGAACTTTCGGAAAGCCTGACACAATTGGAAAATGGGAAGTTTGATTTAGAGAGCAAAATCGCTGATCATCAAAGACTGCGGAATGAACAGGAGGAGATATGCAGCAAGTTAAAGGAGGAATGTATACAGCTGGAGAGTCAGTTCCAGGACACTAAGGTCAATTGCGACGCTGCAGAAAGGAAAGTCGAGCAAGTGGCAGAAGATTTCAGTAAAAAAATTGAATCCAAAGATGAGAAGATAGCGGATTTGGAGCAAGAGGTTGAATATCTGAAACAAGATCTAGAAGAAAAAGGGTACGAGCTTAGTTCTTTGGTTGAAAGCTCCCGCAATATTGAAGTTAAGCTCCGCCTGTCAAACCAGAAGGTCCGGGTTACAGAGCAGGTATTGACCGAGAAAGAGGAGAGCTTCAAAAAGGCTGAATTGAAATTCCTGGAAGAACAGAGAGCACTTGAAGACAGGATTGCTAGATTGTCTGGTGTAATCACTGCAAACAATGAAGCCTATCAAAGAAACATCACACTCATTTCAGAAAATGTGAACAGTTCTTTGAGCGGAATTGAATCTGTGATCAATAAATTTGTGAACGACTATGCAAAGTATGAGACTTGCATTCTGGAAACGTCACAGCAGCTTCACATTGCAAAGAACTGGGTTGCGGAAACAAATAATGAGAAGGAGAAGTTGAAGAGGGAGGTGGAGGACCTAATCAAACAACTGAGAGATAAGAAAGAAGAAGCGTTCATGCTTGGAGAGCAGTTCGAGAGGATGCGGGCAAAGGCAAGCAAGGAAGAAGTGGAGAAGGGGAGTGTGATCAAAGCCGTGAGCCAACTTGAGAAGAAAGCGGCGGACTTGGAGAAGATGGTGGAGGAGAAAAAGGAGGGCATGCTGGGATTAGGAGAGGAGAAAAGGGAAGCCATAAGACAGTTGTGCATTTGGATCGAGTATCACCAAAGCCGGTACGATCATCTCAAGGAAGTTCTCTTGAAGACAACTCCTGCAGGAGGCCAGGGGAGGGCATCATCGTCTCGGCCTTGATCAAATTTTGTTTTTTCTTCGATTGCAATTTGCAACACGACAGTTTTTAGTCTTTTTGCATCATGCATTGTTGTCATTGATTCCATTTTTTGTGTTTCTTTTGAAGGCTAGTGTTTATAAAGCATTTAGGTAGGTCACGAAGGCTATCAGTATTCCAGGCATGTATAAAATCATGCAGATGGTTCATTCTTTGTTAAACTCATTCCTGTCGAATGTCGGATGTTATTGGTTCGTACGAGAAATAAGAGTTTCGAATTCATAATCACCAACAGGCAGCTGATTATACAGCGTCGGTTTTAGTTTGCCAACTGATTCACGCGAAAATGCACGCAGTATACAGAAGGCAAAATTACTCGTATTCTCTAGATATCAATCAGGCGTGTGTGTATGCATCATTTCCTTGAAAGATAATACTTAATGTCACAATGCCAAAGCAGAAGAATAGGAAAGCTAAAAACTATAGGCGTTCGGCTGAAGACAGATAGGCGTATAACATGGACGGGAAGGAGTATCGACCATGGGCTATACGTCTCTGTTTCTAAACTTCCTCCTACAATTATTAAAAAATATTGACACTATACCTTCTCCTACGCAGTCCATTCCCGCTCACTTCCGGATTTAGAACAAAAGTTTAACATGTGGCTCAATGTTCTCTTTGCTTTTTTAGTCAGATATCCTCATCTCAACTCCAAGAACGTCCTTCACTACCTCATATGTGACAAAAGCAATTGCTATGGACGGCACCACCTAAAAGAACAACAAAAGTGTTTTTAAGGTTTAGACAGAAGATAAGTACGCGAACATATGCTAAGATTTTAATATCAATTACAGGATAATGCCTTTAATCACTGACCTTAACAGAGTTTGGGACCAAACCCTTGTACAGCGCTCCAAACCCCTCATGGCGGACCGTTTTCCTGAAAGCATCAACCATCCCAGTATATTCAAGGGATGCCCTATTCTTCCCATCACCAACGACAACCGATGCAGCATCCTTCCAGCCTACCATCTGCATTCTTCTCCGGATGACATCAAGAGGGTAAGCAACTGTCTGGCCAACAGTCCCAGCAGCAGCCCCACATGCAAGCCTTGTAGTTACACTCAACTCAGAGTCCTGGACTAGTCCAAAAGGTCTACTTTTGATCAACCAGTCTTTCAGAGATTCATAAACAGCAAAATTGAGACCAACATAAGGTACCTGTAATAAAATTAGAAAACACTTAGACATCTCATACAGAAATGCGAATAAAACCTTTCCTCCCACAATATTATCCTATAAAAGTATCCCATCAGAACTATAACTCATCACTACACTCATCAAAGCGCAGAATATGACAATGGAAATGTTAATGAATGAACCGACAATTTGATAGAGGATTCTATTCATTTTAGCACTATAAAGAATACAGAAATAAACAAAAACTTCACTTACAACTCCAATGACAGAAGGCAGCCAGCCTCTGTACAGAGCCCGGGGTCCTTCTTCCCTAAAGACAGTTGTGAGAGCATGATATATTCCCCTATATTGCTGAGGAGACATGTCTGTCTGAAGAAATAACGTTCAAACAAATTTAAGCCATTAAAGTGAATTTGTAATAATAATTGCCTCGATAATAGGAAGAAATATCCAAAATATACCTGGACGGTCAGACGACCTCGTACCATGTCCATTGGGTAAGTTGCTGACATGGCAATAATTCCAGCACATGCACCAGCTCCAAGGCGCAATAGAGGTGTGAGTTGAGCATCTTCTGAAGAGATGAATAACAAATATCACTCTAGTAATCCATCAAAGCCACAATTTTCATAATTACTTATGTTTCCTCCCAAAATTGGATCTATAAGACATACGTTTTACATGAGGGAAGAACATGGCCACAGAGTGCACACAACTGATTCAAAGTTAACCAAAGAAACTCATTGTCAATCAGATATCAGACGACAAACACAGACTGAATGGACTCAACCCAGGAAAACAAAAGGATTAATTTACGTGTTTCTCTAGGTGGAAAACTACAACCACAAAAGGGAATGGTTTGAATCATTTGATAATCCAAGCATAAATCAATACAAATAAGACACTACCTCGCAAAGTTCTACTATTTAACATTAGTTATCATAACCCAAATTGTATAAAAGCACACAAACAATAAATTGAACTTCCTAATCCCTATCAAGACTGACAGTAAAGAGCATTCAAGTTATCATTGACAAGCTACAAAATGGGTAACTGGCAGTTGCCTAGAACTGTGAAAATTAGTTTTAATTGATTCATTCCAAATGAAGCCACCTATAATTTCATGGTAATTGACTTTGCATAAGAAATAGGCACGAGGTGGTCATACCATTTCCAGTTTGCTGTCGGTAGAACCATAGAATACCCCTATTTAGACAAAGTACATGAAGGCGAATAAGTTATCAAAATGCAGCTGACAGGAAACAAAGATGGACATTTAAGTACAAAAAGCTTTATTGGGGGGAGGGGAACAATAAACATATGAAGATAACTGGCAATACAAATCAGTGCACATAATAAAAAATTGTAGGGGTGAGGGGAACTGGGACATGGAGAAGCATACTTTGATGCTTCGTCGTAGCTAAAGAACTTGACTGCTGAATTTGGGACTATGCGAGCACAATTAGTTCCATTGCCTTTAAACAAGCCTCTAAAACCCTCAGTTCTCCATATGTACTTCAAGCCTTGAATTGTCCCATTGTATTTAATACTATGAGGATTTTGAACCTGCATTTATCAAAATGCAAATCCAATTTAGTTTGATACAATATAAAATGCATAATGCTTAGGTCCTGACGAACCACCAACACAGCCCCCGGTACCACCAAAAAGAGAGTCTTGATTAACAAGCATTCCATTACAGTGATAAAGGTTTCATAAACACAGTATTGATTAAGGATCCAAATGGTACATCTCCAAATTTCCCGTATGTGCAAATAAGAGAAATACCTGCAGCAAAATTTTTAATCTTTCCAATGGAGCAACAGCAGTTCGTGACCTGCAGCAGGTAGTCAATACCAGATAGAGAAACGTAAGGTTTGAAGTTCACACACATCACTCTTGTTATATGTAACACAACAAACATTACAACAATGCCTATGGACAACTACTTTCATGCATAACAGTAACACAAAACTATTTGTTCTTAACACCCAATGATCTAAAACCCATTTACAACGAAATAACAACTCCGTCAAAAGAAATGGGTGCTTCCAGTTAAGCAAACAGCGTAGAGATCATAAAACATACAATCTTCACACATTCAGATCCCATTTCCTCCTCATGTGTGCCAGCCATTTCCCACAATTATTTTTGTCCTTGAATACATCGCCATACAGTGATCGAGCCTCAATATATACAATTCCTTACGATATACTTCCTAAAAACATTGAAATTCAACTACACCATTGTTAATTACTGCTTTAATATGAAATTCCAGTAAGAATAAACAATTCCATGAAAACTAATTAAGGTTTTCCATTTCCGGGCAATCAAACAATAACGAAACGAAAACAAATATAGTCCAATAATTCATGCACAAATTCAAGAAAATCATGGGGAAAAAAAAATTGCTTGGAAACGAAACCTAAAATAAATTCAGCATAAAAACAAATAAAAGCAAAAGGGGTAAAGCAAAGAAATCATATAAAGAAAATAAAAAACAGAAGATTTCTACTTGGTAAGTAGAAAAAATAAATAAAGATTTGCTACGAACTCACACTCCACCGGCGACTCCTCCGGCGACGAGGGACTTGGCGATGCTAAGCAAAGCATGGCTGGTCGGCGCCTTCACTCCTTCGCTGGCGAGCTTGGCCTCCTCGGCCAGGTTCACAATCGTCGACACCGCAGAATCACTGGTCCTCTTCACGTCCTCCGACGCCATTAAACCCCACGCACAAACAGACACGCAGAGAACCTCAACGGCTGGCCGGAACCTTAGGACTCCCGGACCAATCCGCCGCCGATAGGATCGAGGAGTTAGTTATTCCGGCGATTTATGGACAAGTATGCGGGCGCATGGGTAGGGAAAGGAGGCGTGGCGTTGGGTAGGGGAACGCGAGTGGAGAAAATGATTTGGTTGTTGAGGGATTTGTACATATAGGGCCGTCGTCACTATAACCCGCAAAGTACCACTGCTGCTTTTTCTTTTTTCTTTTTAATTATTTTATATTTGATATTTTTGTGGAAAAGATATATGATTTTGGGGACGTGATATTTTTGGTGGGTGTTTATTTGGGAAAAAGAAATTTGTTTTACAGTTGTCCGTCGCCGCGTTTTTACTAGAAGACGGGTATGTCTTGTTTGTTGGTAGTAACGGTAACTCACGGATTAGCTTCTAACTGTCAAAAGTCAAATACATACTCTCTTTTTTTAGGTTTTCTAGGCTGGGTGAGCAATTGTAATAATGAAATGTTGAACTTTTTATTTGCGGAAGTCGAATCGGATATTTGATTGAGATTAATCTCAATCATTAGTTCAGAATGGCAAACTCATTCAGTCATTCTTTCTCTTCTCTCTCAATCGTTCTCTCTCTCGACTCATTCTATTCATTCTATCTTATTTTTCTCAACTCATAAATTTACACCAAAATTTGAACTCAAATTCACTTAAATATGGGCTAAAGTTGGGATAGCCCAAAAAATTTGGCCTAACAAAAAAAGTCCAATCTAATTTTTCGCTTTACCAAACCAAATCGAAACCAATCCAATTTTTCGGTGTATAGAAAATTTGGGTTCGATTTTGGTTTTATTTTTTCAGTTAACCGAAATTTATGTTTAGTTTTTGTTTGGCATTTTTTGTTTGGTTATCAAACCGAAACCAGTACTATTGTTTATTGGAGTTTCTCTACAATTGTAAGCATAAAGTGATTCTCATAAATCACAATTTTAATACCTAATTATGATTGACTTATTGTATGACTTACACTATAAACTCTTAAATAAGTGTTACTTTTTTATGCTTGATTGTGAATAGAAATCAATTAACCATATTAAGAAGGAAAAGTTGATTATACCAACCAATTTTGTTCCAGTTAAGAGCATTCATTTTTACATTTGAGCTTTAGTGCTAATATTGTTTGTATTTGTTTATCTTCTTATAATAAACATTTGTAGTTTTTGTACGTATGGTAGTTGTTTAAAAGTTTAGTATAGTTTTCTGTTTTGAGCAATTTCACTCCAGATCATTTTTTGGTCACTGAAGCATTGTTCTCATTTGACGCCTTTGTATTTATTTTAATTAATCAATGT